AGATCAAGTATAACACCTTCACACTGTAATTTACATACTGTGAGTCCCTGAAGAAGTAATGTTAAGTCAATACATGTTACCTTTTGATACCTTAATTTAAAATACCAGTTATTCTTGCCAGCTGTCACATAGATACTTGATCCATTTATATCCTAAATCTTTCAGCTATCAATAAAAATGTTGAGTGTCCTTAAAGACAATATATAACAGCTCCTGGTGATTGTCATGTCTTTTTCTAAGTGTCCAGAAAGGTCTGTTCAATAATCTGTTTTAGAATGCTGTCACTAATCAGCATTGAACTAATACTAATCTACGGTTTCCAGCACCTAATTCCTTCCTCCCTGCCACCACCTTTGAATAAAAAAACTGAACAGTGTGACATTTGTTTATAGTATTATTTCAAGCACGTCTCTCACTCTGTGATTTGTCAGATGATCAACACTGGTTTGGCAGCCATGCTTGTAAATTTTAGGTTTATGGGATAAAACTTCTATGAGTCTGGAGGATTAAAACTCATTTGAAATAACTTAGGCACTTGCTTATAAATACGGGAATAAAATATTTTTTAAAAAATTCAGGGCCGGCCCCGTGGCTTAGCGGTTAAAAGTGCGCGCGCTCCGCTGCTGGCGGCCCGGGTTTGGATCCCGGGCGCGCGCCGACGCACCGCTTCTCCGGCCATGCTGGGGCCGCGTCCCACGTGCAGCAACTGGAAGGATGTGCAGCTATGACATACAACTACTGGGGCTTTGGGGGGAAAAAATAAATAAATAAAATCTTAAAAAATTCAGATATGCTAGCCTTTACAGTTTGAAGATTACTCCCCTTGATAGAGAAGATAAAAAGAAATTAGAGCTTGAGTAAAGACATTCTCTCTTAGCCACTTGTTCCATCCCTTTCTTCTCCTTACCCACCAAGCCCAAAACACAATTTTTAAGGTTTTTGTCTTTTTTGGGTGAGGAAGATTGGCCCTGAGCTAACATCTGTTGCCAATCTTCCTCTTTTTGCTTGAGGAAGAGTGTCACTGAGCTAACACCTGTGCCAGTCCTCCTCCACCCTGTATGTGGGACGCTGCCCCAGCATGGCCGGATGAGCGGTGGGCAGGTCCACGTCTGGGATCCGAACCCACGAACCCCAGGCCGCCGAAGCGGAGCATGTGAACTTAACCACTACACCACCGGGCCAGTCCCTTAAGGTCCTTTTTACTGTTCTTAAGAATGTTTCCCAAGCTTCATTCCTTTTCTATGTTTTAGCCTAGAGTACACTATGGTTGTAAGCATTTACCACCTCTTCTGTCTACAGTATTACTAATTTCTTTTTAAAATTTAAATACAAAAGGCACACATGCTTATATTTTAAAAAATCCAAACCATACAGATATGTATAAAATAAAATATAGAGGACCTTATTCTCTGCCCCTCCACCTCCATGAAATAATCAGTATTAAGTTTGGTATATATTCTTCTAAAAACTTTTCCTATGCATGTATGTCCTTTAAAAACTTGAGTTCAGAGAGCACTCCCAAGGGCCATAAAGGAGTTTTTAAGTGCTTCCAGTTCGCCAGGAATAGTCTTGGTTTGTATCTCTTAATCTAGTCTGATTAGTGTTCCCTTTCACTCTTCAAAAGAGTTCCAGTTTGGACAATAATATGAGCTGCTTCAGAGTAGCTGAAAAAGAGAAAGACTAGGGGAAAAAGACTCAGTGAGTTCAAGGTAAGTGATGACCACAGAGAGAACCATTTCTGATTGCAGAGAATTGAGGATTAAGTGGCAAAAAGAGAAAGTGAAAGAACTGGAGGCTAGGATTTATGTTGCATTGTAAACAATGACTTGAACTAATCTTAAGATAGAGAAAGCAAATAGTAGAGAAACAAGAGAGGGATGATTCAGTAAGGAAGAGACAATGGGATTAAAATAACTCCAGTAATAATACACATCAGTAATACCTCTCTCTACATATAGGTAACAGAAGGGTTAAAAATCTTGACTTTACTTATCATCATCAACTTGGGATACGACCATTCTTTCCACTCACATATTAGATCTCTACTACAACCTGTGAAAACTTGTTTTTCTCCTCAAAGCCTGATGTTTACTCCTCCTATTCTAATTAATTTTAATTTTTATTTTTTTTGTGAGGAAGATCAGCCCTGAGCTAACGTCTGATGCCAATCCTCCTCTTTTTTCTGAGGAAGACTGGCCCTGAGCTAACATCCGTGCCCATTTTCCTCTACTTTATATGGGATGCTGCCACAGCATGGGTCGACAACTAGTGCGTCAGTGCGTGCCCAGGATCCAAACTGGCGAACCCCCGGACACCGCCACAGTGGAGCGCGTGCGCACTTAATCGCTTGCACCACCGGGCCGGCCCCCTATTCTAATTATTTTTAACAGGTCATAGGTATTCTGTGTTTTCTTAGATTCTGTAATTGTCTATTCGGCATCCACTAATCACAGGGCCAAACTAAGGGCTAAAATTGTTTACATCTCCCCTGCAGTCCAGAGCTCATTCTCTGAACCACCTCCTTTATCTAACCTGCACACACCAAGTCTGTATCTCTCCTGCTCTAAACCAACCCAGGGCCAGATTCCAGACATCTAATAAGAGCCCCTAGCCGCCAAAACCCACTGGAATTATTCAAACTAGCCAAACCTAAATTGTCTACCCTGCCTTGCCTTGCCTCACCTCGCCTATAGAAATCCCAAGAAAGGCTGTGGCCTGTGTCTTCCCCTAGCTCCCTTCTGCCTCCTGACCAAAACTGGTGCTTCCCCTGTGGCCCTATGTGGTGTGCCACGCCTCTCATTTCTAAGGGAACTGTAAGTAACATTAAACTTTTCTTTCAATGGCACTGACCTTTCTGTACTGTCACTCAGTCATGTTTATAAATTAAGACCCAGGCACAAATCAATAAGGAAATGATGTCCCACGACATTCACCACTTATTATCAGCAGAAAATGTGTTTCTAAAGTGCTTTAATTTCTCACCTTCCTCTGAAGTAACAATCAGGTTTTGTACATCATGTTATAGAAATTGAACAGAACGGCAAAGAAATGAAGCAGAGCAAAAAAGATGACCCGTCAGCAGGTCAGCCTCACAATTCTCATTACCTTAAATAGGTAAGGGGTAACTAACGACAATACCCATGTCAACAGTATGCTAACACTTACATAACACTTTCGAAACTGTGACTAGATCTCTGTCTTTCATTAAAAACTCAATGACATAGTTTTCCTTGGTACATTTAGTGTCTCTAATTCAGCTATTTGTTCTTACAGTGCATATCCCAGACACATTGCTGAGGATGATTTTTAACCCTGCCATTTCCCTGATTATTAAAGTCCCACCAGGGATAGGGGATGACATTTCAACATTTCAAAAGGTCATTTTACCAATTTTTTATGTCTTCCTAAGTTTTAAACTTATCCTAAGTAAGAAGACTAAAAGAATAATGGTAAAGTAATCATCAGTATGCATTTCTCAATATAAAGAAAAATATTAAAAATATATTAAAGGACTTCATTATTTAAATGGAAGCTAGGGGGTCGGCCCAGTGGCGTAGCAGTTAAGTGTACGCGCTCCGCTTTGGCGGGCCGGGGTTTGCAGGTTCACATCCCAGGCGCACACTCATGCACCACTTGTCAAGCCATGCTGTGGCAGTGTCCCATATAAAATAGAGGAAGGTGGGCATGGATGTTAGCCCAGGGCTAATCTTCCTCAGCAAAAAGAGGAGGACTGGCATCAGATGTTAGCTCAGGGCTAATCTTCCTGACACACACACACACACACACACACACACACAAAATGGAAGCTAGTGTCCATCCTTCTGTGATATAAGAATACATCTAGAACATGAAAAACATACCCTATTATCTGCTTTCAAAATTCAACGTTTTCTAGGTTGGATTTTCATAAAGAAGGGTAAACATGTACCACTCTATATTCTCTCTTAATATGAAATGCAAGAGGCTCACTCAGGATAGCAAACTGAATCAGCATTTATCTAACTTCAGAAAAAGAAACTCAAGACAAAAGGAAAAGACCTTTCAACATAAAAGTATCTTAAAAGAATGATTACTGTTGCTGTTCTTTTTTAAATGCTAAGGATCAAAAAACACTTAGAAAGACAAAAAAAAACCAAAAAGTAGTCACAGCAAGGCAATAAATCTGTATCACTAGGAGACATTTAAAATGATTTATTTATATTAAATATTTAAAAGAAATTAAGAATTCAATTAGGATCTTACCTGTTTTTAAGAATTAGCTAGTGGTCAAATTATACTCTCTTCAACTACTATTACTTTTTAAAAAAGTAAATCAGGGAGGGCCGGCCCCGTGGCTTAGCAGTCAAGTGCTCGCGCTCCACTACTGGTGGCCTGGGTTCGGATCTCCAGCGCGCACTGACGCACCGCTTGTCCGGCCATGCTGAGGTGGCATCCCACATACAGCAACTAGAAGGATGTTTAACTATGACATACAATCATCTACCGGGGCTTTGGGGAGAAAAAGGGAAAAAAAGGAGGACTGGCAATGATGTTAGCTTAGGGCCGGTCTTCCTCAGCAAAAAGAGGAGGATGGGCATGGATGTTAGCTCAGGGCTGATCTTCCTCACAAAAAAAAAAAAAAAGAAAGAAAAAAAAATTAAATCATGGAAATTTAGGTAAAGATAAATTTAAATTTTCTGGCAGAAATGTTGTATACTGTTTGACTCGTAAACAGATAGATATTCTCTTTTATTTCTAAAAACTGTAAGAATAGCCACTGATTTTTTTAAATGCCATTTCCAAATACAATAGTTACTTTGTAATGCTGAATTTTCTAAGCATTAAGTTAACAAAGTATGAATTTAAGAACATATAACATTGTTTTCTTAAAAGGAAAGTATTAAGGAGTCTTTTCCTTATTTTTATTTCTGATCTAGAATCTGCAGTCTAACTGAATATTTAAAATCTCTTAAGATTAGCTTTTCTACAGTCAACTTTAAATTGTTATAGGAAATACTTACTGGTTGCTCTGGTAAATCTTGCTCTTCTTCCATGAGGACCAATATTTCTGTATTATGCTTATGTGACTGGATTGCAAGTGTCTCTCAGCAGTCTTCACAGTCTGTTTAAAAAAGAGGGGGGATTTAAAACTTTATATACTCTTAAAGCATTATCATTGAGGCCATCAGAGAATAATTTTTTAATCTTCTGCTACCCCAAGCTTTCCACGTGAGTTCCAATCTCCAAATCTCAAACTTGCACGTGGCTTTTCAAAATTGACATGCTGCACCAATTCAAGATAGGTATACATGATGACTTTTATAGTATCTTGCAAAAGCCAACATGTGAAACCACTTCTTCTGTACTTAAAACATGGTTACTAGAGTGCCTAATGCATTAAACATTTTATAACGACAGCCATGTGCAGATAACTAAAACAATTTTTTTTTAGGATTAGAGTTACATTCAAAAAATGATAATAACTAGCCTAGCAAGTCAGTAAGTTATGATAACATCTAACCTGCTTTTATGTGGAACATTTATATAACTGTTAACACAGACACACAGAATCACTTTAAATAGGACAAATTGGAATATCAATTAAATACTTTCACAATCAACTATCTGTATATATGTAATCAACTTAAAGGAAAACTCAATTCTTCTGGATCTATTTTAGTAACGCAAATAAATAAGTAAAGTAAAACCTTGAATTTTAGAATTAAGGAAAAAATAATCATGTAAAGCTAGGATCCAATTTTATTCTGAAATAACGAGCTCCACTAAATATACTGTCTAGTCAATTATTTAAACAAAATCTTTACCTTCTCAGACCCTGCTTTTCCTGTCCTGATCTTCAAACTAAAAAGGAAAAAAGAAAAACAGGACTCTAAGCCCCACATTTACTGGTAAGAACATCTTACTGTGCCGTGCTGGCAAGAGAGACAGATAGACATTAGAAAACTAAAAATAAAAAACTCTATTTCTATTTAACAAAAATAAATTTAGCATGGTTCCGAAACAGATGTGATTGCTTATGCTTTTCACTCAGGTCACACTTGTTTTCAGTTCTTCTACCAACAACTGTAACCAACTTAACACATAAAGCTAAAGCAAGTATAGAATCTTATTACAGAAGTAATTAAAATAGATAAATAACATGAAAAGGGAAATGAAAAACTTCAGTTGTGCCAATATACCACCACTACTTCTATTGCTTCCACTACTCTATCTTGGTGCAATACAACACACTTTATTTTAGAGCCACACTCCAGAATGGGAAAAGAAGAGAAAACACACGTAAGGGATCCAATTAGATGCAAAACTGTCCAACTCTGACACAGCTTTACTTCCTGCCCTGATCTAGAATGTCAAAAGAAAAAAAAAGTTTAAAGGTCGGAAGCACTTGATGCTCAATGCACTCACGTGTAGCTCATACATAGAGCCTCAAAAGCTAAGTTCTCATACTACATGACGTAGATAACTAGTGCTGCAGAATTACAAAGCGCAATAACGAAAGCTCACAGGAGCTATCTTCCCTGGACTTGTTTTGTTCTACTCAGAAGACCATAATCAATGTGACGTGAAACTGACTCACTACTGTGAAACAGGAAACATTTTTATGTTACTAGCTTATTTCTATCTTAGTTTTAAATTGAAATGTCTTTTCTTTCCTTTATGGGATTTTAATACCGTCTAAATGTACATAATGTACATATGTGATTTCATTCCACAAGAAAGAGCAAAATAGGGCCAAATCATTAGAGAAATGTAATGCCTTTAATATTTCATTTGTTGAATTTTTGTGTGATCAGCTTTCACCTAAACAAAATGTGATAATACTCCATGTTTTACTTAATTGAAGCCCATAACTGCAATAATTGCAATCACTAATTAGCAGATTTTTGGCAAGGGAGAGGGAAGGGATATTCCTTCTCATGGGGGAAGGGTTATAAAATCTATCTCTGAGCAAGAGGAAGGTTAAGGAAAATTGTAAAAAAAAAAAAAAAAAAAGGATACTCTATAATGTGCTTTAATGTTGTTTTAAATACAAGAACTAATTTATTGTAAAAATACGAACAACATTAAAGGAGAACAAAGATTTTTTTAAACGTTAAGAAATACTACTCTTAATAGTGGGAAAATAAATTCTCAAGCCCTGCAAAACTAAATGTTAAAATCTTGAATTTTGTTTTTTAGAAATATGGTAATACTACAGTGATTTTATAATGGAAAGGGACAAATTTTCTATTTTTCTTGAAATAAATTCTACGGTAAGTTGCAAGAAAACCTTTAAGGGAAAAATTGGAAGACATTCCTTTCTACCTCTCCTACTTCTTCTTCTTTGAAAATGAGCATCCTTTGTTGTTTCCATCTTAAAAATTATCTTTAATTTCTCAGCATTTCAATATAGGGGAATAAAGGGGCATAGATGATTTCTATATTTAGAAAAATAACTTTAAAAATCAAGTAACTGGTTAATGACCACCAATAATTTTGATCATTTTAAAACAAAAAAATCAATCTACAAGGAAAGCATATGATTTATTACAGAATCTTCTAGGATTTTATTGGCAACATGTGTCATGTCTGAAGTTTGCAAACATACATTCTGTTACATCTGTGTATAACATATATTAATAATGACTATAAATTATGTAATGCCATCACAACATGCATCTAAGATACTACTTTCCATCAATACAGTATTCTTCCTTCCTTCCAATAATCTGTAATTTGAAAGACCTGAAATATAAAAACATACTAAATATAAGAATGCAAGTATTTACCACATTCCTAGCACTTATCAATGTGCTAAAACTTTTAATATTAAGATCTAACACCATTTTCTACAAGTGTCACATGCTTACAATCATAAGTCACGTTTCTAGCAACCAGATAAAAGTGTTATATTACACAGACACAGTGCTCCAGTATTTGATAAGAAAAAAAAGTACAGAATTACTATACAAATCTTAGTATTCTCATTTCCATGGACTAGGTTCTAGAGTTTAATTTAATTGTGATTTTTTTTAACCATTAATGTAACCTGACATTATTCCATAGTCAATGAGATTCATTTTTTAAAATATCCAATAATACAACAGCTTGACATAGAAGTGGAAAGTAATTCTTTATGTAATTTAAATGAATATAATTATAATTTAGCCAAACAGGCAATGAAATTACAAAACACGCTCTGAATTAATCTTAAGTACCTTTAAGGCATTTGGATAGTAATGTCTTTTCACAATTTTCTAGTTTCAATTCTCACTATTGGTTTCTTTTTTTTTTTATTTTTTTAAAGATTTTATTTATTTATTTTTTCCCCCCAAAGCCCCAGTAGATAGTTGTGTGTCATAGCTGCACATCCTTCTAGTTGCTGTATGTGGGACGCGGCCTCAGCATGGCCGGAGAAGCAGCGCGTTGGTGCGAGCCCGGGATCCGAACCCGGGTCGCCAGCAGTGGAGCGCGCTCACTTAACCACCAAGCCACGGGGCCGGCCCTTGGTTTCTAAATATAGCTGTTTTATCATCTTTTTTGGAGAGAGTTTGTCAGTATCTATAAGCCTTCATGGACAGAAATCTGGGAAAATTTACAATTGACAACAGAAATAGTATTTTTTAAGACTTCACATTTCCCTATCTGCAAATTTTTTTTTTTTTTTTTTTTTTTTAAGATTTTATTTATTCAGTTTTTTCCCCCCAAAGCCCCAGTAGATAGCTGTATGTCATAGGTTCACATCCTTCTAGTTGCTGTACGTGGGACTCGGCCTCACGTTGGACGGAGAAGTGGTGCCTCGGGGCGCTCCCGGGATCCGAACCCGGGCCGCCAGCATCAGAGCGCGCACACTTAACCGCTAAGCCACGGAGCCGGCCCTGCAAATTCTGATAATGAAAAAATATGAACTTTGGTTTGATTCAAAAAGGTCACACAATTTTAAATATTGTGATTTCACATGCTCACAGATAAAGCAAGATCCTTTTGTAATATGGCAGCCACAATTTTCATTTTTAATCCTTAGAAATTAGAAGGGAAATAATTAGTAGCAAATATTTTATTTCAAAATTCTAATTAGATTTCTACCTCATAATTTCTGTTTTGTACCAAATTCAACATACTATAATCCTGTAATTACAAATGGCTACATGCAAGAACTTAGGTTACTTCAATGTGTTATTATAGCTCTTAAGTATAAGAAGGGAAATAAAAAATATGTTAATACATTTTAATATATGCTAAATAACATATATTAATATATAATTACTATAATTATAATATATAATAATTATAACATATAATTTAATATTTTAACCTATATTTTAATATATATGTTTATATAAAACATATATATACACATATTTTTTTTTAACACAGAATAAAGGTCAAATTGTTTTCAATGAAGACAAAGTATACATCACTCTTAATTTACAACATCAAGAGAAGTGTCTAGATAGAGCAACAGTGTCTGATTACAGGTCCTAGAGGGGAAACTTGCATGTGGCTAAGTGTGCACAGAGATGTTCAAGGGTTAACTTAATATCTTTGATACAGTTCTAAGTAGAAAACAGCTCAAAAATTTGATCACTGACTACACTATATTTTAGAAATCTATTTAATACTCCTTCCAAAGCCTTATTATACATTTTTAGAGCACACCAAAGAAAAGGCTACAGAAGTTTTCCTGGGAAAATTTTTCCCAAAATTAAATATATCTCAGCAAAAATAGTTATAAACAAAAGTAGTCTGAAGAAGTATCAAAAAAGTGGTATATCATCACTTAACATTTTTATTAATATGTGGATTACTTTAGGATTTAAAAGAAGTAGGTAATTAGCAAATATTTTCCATAGTATCCTCAAATATAATTATGTGCATACCTTGAAGAATGAAAACAAAAAGCAAAATATCCTCTTCTAATGGCTTCAAGATGATTGCTTTAAGTATTGTTTTTCAACAATAACTGATCTATTCTTAAGGGGATCTATCAACGAATTCAGAAACAAGTGTTCTAATACCCAAAGTACCAAACATAAAGCCTAAAGATATCTCTTCAAAATAAATTCTAATTTATAAACTAAAAGGCCTTATAAGGCAAAATCAGAAAAGATGTCAGGAAAA